AAGTAATAGAATGCTTGTCTAGCATATAAGAGGCCATATATTCTATCTTCATATGAAATCACTTCCAGATTTGTCTATCGCTGCTGACCTAGACAGCCTATATTTCTTGTACACGTCCATACCTGACCTGAGAATCCTCTGTAACCTTTCATCTACTAGTGCCATGCTCTGACAGTTCCAGTGCTGCCTCATCCCCTTCCTGGCAGGCAGAAGGACAAAGGAAAGTAGCACCTAAGTGTTAAGGTTTCAGAGAAAACCTGCAGAGTGAAAGCTTTCCCTGGGGACGGGGAGTCCACACCTCTTGAAACTTCTGTGCTTCTGCGAAGAGACAGTGTGCTTATAGTGAGCACTACTTTTGGTCTTTCTTAAGATTTTGATTCATTTAAATGTCCATCTTAAAAAATCATCGCTGAATAATACCCCTAAAGCCCAGAGCCAGTGAAGACACAAGATAGTGGGCACTGCTGCACCAGACACCGCGGGCAGAGCTGAGCTCAGGACAAGGTGCAGTGGCCCAGCCAGGACACAGCGTGACTTCCCCACCTGGAGTGGAGGCCAGCTGTGGACTCCCCTGCCAGCAGCACTAATCCAATCTAGCATCACTCAGCTTTAATCTAATCTCCTTACAGCAAACCCAGAGGTCCAGTGGAACCAAGCCCGAAGCGGTGGCAGGACCCTACAGAGGCCCAGCCGGGCCTTCCGGTGGAGAGTGGGGTGGGGGTATCTGAGAGCCAAGAACCACACGGCCAGATGGGAGGAAAGCGGAGCCGGGTTCTCCTCAGCAAACCACCACTAGAACTCGTGAGCCGCTCAGAAACATTTAAATACAGGTTGGTTATCAGGGCTACTTAGGAATCACTGCCGATTTTATTTGCAGCACTGCCACTGTGTGTAGGGGAGAAAATAGTATAGAGATGGATATTACTAGATGGCAAGCCTAACTGTTACAGGGATGACAACGACCAAAGGGCAGGCTGGCTGTAACGTACCTTCCATTCTTTTCATATGCTACTTACTGCTTAGTAGATGGCAACCCAAGTTGGGTTTTCTTTAAACAAACAAACAAACAAAAACTCAGCATTTAAAAAAAAATTCATCATTTAGAGACACAGACTGGAAGAAAATGTAGGGGGCAAAAGTGTACTGGCAGGGATTTGGTTCTGGGGATCTGAGGTCCCTGCTCAGACACTATGTTCTGACTCAGTCTGCAAGGTGGTAAGAAATCCTTCACATTTCTTCATTCTTTCATGTTTTACTTCCACAAAAAATGAAAAATAAAATAAACTGGGCATGGTGGCACAGGCCTGTAATCCCATGGACTCCGGAGGCTGAGGCAAGAGGATTACGAGTTCAAGGCAAAGCAGACCACTTAGAACCTTGTCCCAAGGTTAAAAAAAAAAATTATCTAAAAGGGCTGAGAATGTAGTCTCGTGGTGCAGCGCTCTCCCAGCATGTAGAAGGCCCTGATTTAATCTGTTGTACTGCAAAAAGCAAAACAACAAAACTAAAAAATTTACCAAGACATGAAGCAATGTTAACACTAAAGTTAGGGGATGGGTATATAGGTTTTCATAGTATTGTTTCCTAAAAGACTTCTGTTCAAAAATTAGTTTAAGAAAGCTAAAATAAAACAAAAGTACTGTGAAAGTTGGGGAAGAAGACAACTCTTTGTCCTAAATCAAGAGGTTCTCAAACTTCTGTGTTACAGCTTGTGATGGTCCCTCAAAGCCTCGGGCTCTCACAGGTGGGGCTTCCTGAAGGCGGGTGGATCTAGGATGTATAAGGACGGATTAAGAGTGTGATAACTAGATTAGTCCACTAGTTGGATTAGCATGGTTCTGGAAACGGCTGAATACATTTAATGAAGACCGAAGACCCAGCCTGGGTGTGAGTGGCAGGTACCCATAGGCTTTCGGCCTGGACGAAGTAAAAAGGGAAAGGGAGGCGCCCTGCTGCTCGCTGCCCCCTGCTTGCTTGCCATGGGCTGCTGCTACTCCGCCACGCTCCCCTGCCCGCCGCCCTGCCTTGGAGCCAGCCAACGATGGACTGAAACATCTGCAACCTGCCAGCTAAAATAAACCTCTGCTGCTTTAACTTGTGCGTGTTGGTAATTTGTCCAAGCAACAAAGAAGCAACTAGGACAGTATGTTTAACGACAAACCAAAAAGCACTAGTTGCACTGGATTTATTCTGTCTAATCTATGAAGGGTTGGATGCGCATCACATCCCATAACGCCACAGCCTCTGCCCCAAGAAATTCTGCAGTCATTCCTGCTCATGTCACATCGTATACGCATGCATCTTAGGCCAAATGTTCAGCCAAAATAAAGAGCAAAGGATTTTAGAGCAGCAACAGCTACCTTTTTATTCTTTTAAATGCTACTTTCACCTTATTACCTTAACCTGTTACCGTGGCATTTAATATGGAAGCCTTGCCCTGGGGACAAGCCACTGTTCTGCTGTTGGTGTTGTAGAATTTCAAGTTTTAGATCAGCCAGGTTGATGAAAAGTAAATATTCATGCATGACTGTAAATATTCATGCAGAACTCTATTAGGAATTGGCAGCTGGTGATTTTAAATACAATTATCCTAACTTTAAAACTTTTGCTATGTTTTTTTTTCAATTGGTTAGAGATGACAAGGAAAAGCTTACCTTGCCGACAAATGGAACGAGGTGGTGCTCACACATGGAATACATATCGATGTCCTTCACAATCACCATCTCGTCATGATCTTCATCAAAGATGGCATCATTCAGGACATCTGAAATCAGAGGCTTGCTTTAGCAACCTTTCCAATTTTATAGAAAAAAGCAACATCCAAAACCCACTATGATTAAATATAAAAATAAACATAAAAAAGAGGGAAGAAAATACAAATCAAAACTAGTTTCTCCTTTCAAACTAAGTTTTTTCTTTAAATGATATAAAAAAAATCTTTGATACAGTGCTACATGGGAAATGCAGATTAAGTACACTTATAGCATGGTAGAGGGGTGAAGAGAGAAAAAAAACAGGTACGTCAAAATAAAAGTGGGCGTTTCTGGTTGTTTTTGTTGTTAGGGTTTTTTTTGTTTGTTTGTTTGTTTTTTTTTTTTTTCTGTTCATTTGGGCTCTTTTCTTTCTTTCTTGAGCCAGGAATGGAATCTCACAATTCCATTCAGACTGGCCTTGTAGTCACTATGTGGGCCAGGCTGGCCTTAAACCCATAACTGAGTGTTGGGATTACAGGCGTCTGCCACCAAAACCAGTTCTCTTTATGCTTTCTTATACTTAATATTCGCTCTATGATATAGACGTAGAAAGCCATGTATGGGAAAGGACTACACTCAGCCCTCCGAACTCCGAAGTCAGAACCATGTATCTGCAACCTTAACCTCCGGCAGCCGGGTGGGGTGGTGCATGCCTGTCAGGAGGCTGAGGCAGGAGGCTCACTGTAACTTCAAGGCCAGCCTGGGCTACAGAGTGAGACCGTGTCTCAGAAAAGAAACCACCAAACAAACGAAAAACTTAAATTCTATTATCAATTCCCCAAATAATTTTATAGACGTATAAAGTTTCCCAGTTATTGCAGATGGGCATGAGAATGGCATTATCTCAACAGCCACCTTCCTAAGAGAATAAAGCCACTGTTTGCATGCAGGCACAGCTCTGGGGAGGTTTTGGGGACACCAATGTCTCAGGTGAGCTGTAAACCCAACTCAGGCTACAACAGACACCTAAAATCAAAAGACCTCATTGTTACAAACTGCATCAGCCAAGCTTGAATATCACTTCTGCCAATCAGAAGGTAGCACAATGATGCCCGAGGGAGGTCTAAGCTGTCTATTGCCCTGACTGCAAGAACCACCCTGTCCTGCTCCTTGTGGGGATGAAGGACAAGAGCCCCATGCTTACCATGGTAATCCCAGTGGTACCCAATCCTTACCATGGTAACCCAGTAGTGTTATCCAATCTGCACCATGGTAACCCAGCAGCAGTATCCAGTCCTCATCATGGTAACCCAGCCATCTAATCCATCCTCACCATGGTAACCTCACCACAGTACCCAAACTTCACCATAGTAACCCACCACCATACCAAATCATCACTATGGTAACCCAGCAGCGATATCCAATGCACACCATGGTAATCCAGCATTGGTATCCAATCCTCCTCATCATAACCCAGCCATATAACCAATCCTCCCCATAGTAATCCAGCCACAGTACCCAAACCTCACCATAGTAACCCAGCCACCACACCAAATGGTGGTAACCCAGCAGTGGTATGCAATTCTCACCATGGTACCAAATTTTCTCCATGGTAACCCAAAATTGGTACCCAAATAGTGATACAGGTAAATGCCTGGTGATGAAAAGGATTTTTCAATCTACTGTCAAAAGAGAAAAAAAGCTACAAGCCAAGACAGTCATGACCTTTATAAAATAAATATATACACAGAAAAGGCCCTGTGCTTCTGCCTGCCCAGCTTGGCAGACCGGATACCTCAGCGCACCTTGCTGTTGACAGCAAGTTGAGGGACACCCGGGATCCACAGATGAAGTCCTGGAAAGGATACCGCGTGAGTCACAGCGCAGCAAGCAGACGTCCACCCACAGCCTTGACCTTCCGCGCCTCACTGCCCCCAGAACTGAATCAGGGTTCACAGATTCTGAGTCATCGTGGACACAGTCACCACCCCTGAGTCAGGCCAGTGCCACAGATGTGTAACTCTGTGGCTAAAAAGTCCCGAGTATGGCCGGGGAAAGTGGGTGTGTGTGGTGTAAACCCACACAGGCAACGAAGAAGTGAGCCCGGCTAGGAGCTGCTAGTGAGACCCAGGGAGGGAAACACTCACTTGAAGTAAATGTTCCTTCTCCAAAAGCAATTTCTGTTCTGAATATTCTGCCCCAACCTTCCATCAAGTCCAAAAATAGCTCCGTCGTGTGCCCAGAAGTGCCCTAGATTCCCCTAAGATGTTAATATAATGCCACTTCCGACTGAATGTACTAAAGCCTTTGGTCATACAAGAAACAGTCCTGAAAGTAAAGACAAACAGAAATTTCCTAAAGAACAAGAGTACTGTCAAATGCCAGACACATTCATTTTCTGTGGCAAGAAAAAGGAAAACATAATGCCCATTCTAAGCCCTGGTGACAACCACATGCCACATGTCATCTCTCAAGCTGGGCTTCTGTCATTTACTGACTCTGGGACCTCGGGCAAGACATTCTATGCCTCCCTCACCCTGGCTGTGAAATGAGCAGATGAATAAAGTGCCATCTTCACGGAGACCTCCTGGGGACGCTACTGTACGCATGTGACCGCATCAGTGAGGTGTAGTTGCTACTCTTAGAATGCAGGTAGGCAGAATTGCCAAACTATGGTTCCCATGTGACAATGTGCCTATTCAGAGTCCGGAAAGGAAAAACAGTGACTTTCCTATGAGGCTCTACAGTCAAGACGCCTGGCCGATGAAGCCTTAACAAAATGACCAAGGCCAACTTTGCCAGTAGTGAGAAGGACACTGTGCATTCCTGGCATGACACGCCACCTCTGTGATATCCACCCAACAAACAGAATGACATTCCAGTCATCAGACAGACAGAGAGAGGGCAGTTCTACAAAACACCTAAACAAGTATTCTTTGAAAAGCACCAAGAAGCCAGATGTGGTGGCTCACACCCATAATCCCAGCATCCCGGGAGGCTGAAGCAGGAGAATCCCAAGTTCAAGCAGAGCTAAGGAAGCTTAGCAAGAACCTGTCTCAAAATTTTAAAAGGACTGAGATGTCACCTAGTTTGAAGGCCCTAGGCTCTATGCCCAATATAACCCAAAACAAAACAAATCAAGATCATAAAAGACATGGAAATACTGAGGAACTATCAGATTGGAGGGGATAAGAAAAATAAAACTAAATGTAATGAAAGAACTAAAATCCAAATGAATACTGCAGCTTATTGATTTCTAAACTACAATGATTATAGCCATGACCATATTAGGTGTTCCGTTAGGAGGACCTTCAGGAAACGCAATGTATAGGACAACTATAGTGCTTGTGCAATTATTTTTCAAGTCTAAAATTGTTTCAAAATTAAAAACATAGGATGTGAGGGTGATGTGGCTGTGACATCTGACATCTGTCACCCCACGGATAAAGGGAGCTGATTCGGCTGCTCTAGCTGGCTGGGGGAGGGTCCCCTTCCTCCCTCACAGCTCCGTGTGTGTCCCTCCCCTCCCCAAGTGGCACACTTGGCCAGAGAGGACAACACCCCAAGAGAGGAGGACCGTTCCTCAATCAAGGGTCTAAAGTAGCTGTGCACCCTGCTAGAACCTCCAAACAAGCTCTCAGAATAAAAAGTCTAAGCAGGACAATGTCCATCCTGTGGAAGGCATGGACCATGCTGTGTGCCCAGTGATTAAAACAGAGTGGATGACACGGAACAACACGGCTGCAGATTCCAAGTGCGATTCTCAGGGAAAGAAGCCACATGGAGACACAGAAAGGATCCCTGTCGTGTGCAGCAGAGCCACAGGTCAG